TGGGCTGATCCAAAATTAGTTTGTTTTCCTTGATTTTTTTTTTTAGTTCAACCATAATACCCACTGGCTTGACTAACGATGCATAAAAAGTCTGAGTAGATATTTTCTCCTCCTCATTACGGCCTCATTGTTCATCACTGAATGCAGCTCAGGGGAGCATCCAACATACTTGACCTCTCAACATGGTCCCTTTTCTTTCTTGGGGCTTTAAGTTCCTCAGTAATATTTATCCCCTTTTCAGTGAAACTGTGAGGTGCTTCACTGGAGGCACAAACATCAGGGATTTACCCACACCTCGTCCTGTCTGTCCCATTTTCCTTCTATCCACAGTGCACAGTAACAGCAAACACCACTACTTTGGTTTTTAAGGATGTATATTGGTTTTAACAGGTGGTATATAAAGCAATAACCTTTCTACATTTACTTAAGGTTGCACAAATCATATGAGTTTTCTTGATGAGAAATAATTCTGTGACAGATTAATAGAAGTAATACTTGAATTCCTCCCCTAGAATAAGCAACACAAAGTTCTGAGCATATGCAGAAAATATCTTGGGCTTCAGTGGCTGATTTTCCCTTTTCCCCCCTCAGATCTGTCTTTAATCAGGACTGAATCACATCTTCCCAAAAGTGACCTTGGTAGTTACAGTTGCCAAATCCCTCAGTTCACTACATTTGCTTTGGAAAACTAAGCACTTAAATGTAATAAAATGAAATGATTGCAAACAAACTTTGCAGAGGTATCACAGTTAAGAAAGTGCCAGAACTGACATGTACCATCACTTCCCTGGATTCTCTCTCTCCCCACCACTCCTGGCTAATTTTGGATGAGCTGAGGTGCTGATATCTTGCCGTATAAATACCTTTAAAGGGAACAAATAGAATGAGACAATGGCATCTGTGCAAATGCATTTGCAACACACTTTTTAGCTTCCAACTAGCCTTAAACCAAGCTCTATACACAAACCAGGATGAGAGGCATAAATAAAAAGACTTTAGAAGATATCTTTATTCTAAACTTAATGTGAAATTAAAAAAAACCCCTGAATCAATTACACTATAAATATGTAGAGCTTGGTAAACTGAAGTGCTGTGTTTATATGTGCAGAGTACAACACACATCCCTTCCTTCACAGAAGATTCAGGGTCAAAATCATTTAATAACACAGTGTTATTGTTCATTTATTAAAAAAAATTAAATCCAGGCTAAGTTAAAAAGGGCAATTCCTATGGAATTATTTCTACAGATGTAACTGTGAAGTTGAAGCACAGTTCACTCATCTCACAGTTCACAGCTCTGAAGAGCATAAATAAAAGTCGTTGCACACCCAGAAAACACCTTCCAGGAGATCAGCAAACTTCCAGGAAGGTCTGGAAGATTGCAGATGTACTCAGTGATTTCCAAATTAAGTACATGTCATCTCCTCTCCTTGCCTTGCATATCCATGTAGGCATTTAAACTGTAATCTGGGATGTTCAGATGGTCTCTGTCTCAGGGAGCTCTTCAGAGCAGCAACCACTGCACGACAGACACCAGAAAAACTGCTTTTCATTACTGTGATTACAGGACTCGTGCTGCTGCTTCGTGTGTTTTTTTCATTGGAGGTCTTTGTCCCATGTTGTGCCTCAGGGTGTTGGAAGGGTATTTGAAGGAAGTGCCAAGGAGAGGAAGGCAGTAAGATTTCTGAGAGAGATAAAAGCCATCTGATTCAACATGTTTGTCTTCTCAAAATTCAGTATTGCCCCAACTTCCCTCTTTTCATTCCATTTGCTTCGAGATATAGAGTATTTCATTAGCTGTAAGTCTCTTGCCTGCTTGTAACTTATTTTTGTTTCTCAAAATCTGGTAATTGGAGCATTTGTTCCAGATGTATGAGAAATATGGCAACATATCTCCTAAAGCAGCTACTATTCATGTTAGAAAAATAAGAGTGGAATGAAAGCTGGAACTCTTCAGAACCTGCCCCAAAGAGTAGGGCCAGTCCATGAGTCAGCTGTGGAACCCCCCAGTAGAAAATCTGTGTGGTTACCTGGAAGGTCAAAATGAAAGTGCAAGGGCCAGATAGTCACAAAAATGCAAGGGAAGACATTGCTCATCTGAATTACTCAGAACATCAAATGCCACCTTCCCAGGAAGGCCACTGAACACCCTCTTAGTGTTAAGAAGACATTGCTGTTTATGCAGTTCCTTTTTAACTCCTTTTAAGCATATGGGTTTTTAATTTTCTATTATTTTGCCCTGTTTTATAATTTTTTTAGAATCAGAAGAGGTGTTAAAACTTATCAGGGAAACCCTTAAACTGCATTTTCACTGGGAAAAGCCTGGTATTAAGCACAGCTGGAAACTACTGTGTTAGGTGCAACACAGACGTACCAAGACTTAAAACAGAACAAATAAATGCTGTTAAATCTCCTGCTGGTCCCTGTGTGCAAACCTGAACCTTTGATCCTCCTCTCCTGAGAGACCTTAATGCTGTAGAGGCTCCCTGCTGGGAGATCCGATGGTCCTGGTTTAGATGGAAATCCAGGAAGTGCACTGCCATTAGTTGTATTTTACAGGAGTGATGCAGCCATTGGAAATTCCTGCTAAAAGTGGTGTTTTCACATTCCTAACTTTTCTGGCCCCAGCATTCTGTCCTGTGTAAGTGCACTCTGTGAGTTCCCTTCCCTGCCATCCAGGCATTTAGAACCCCCTGAAGGATGAGCCTTGCTCCGTGAGGACGTGAGCAACACGATTTGCTCTTTGTGCCAAAGGGCTCCTGGCAGAGGGACCTGCTTCCAGAACCAGTGGAGATGAGATGGAGCCCTGGCTGAGAGACAAACAGCCCCAGCCACAGCTTCCGTGCTCACTCATATCTCCAGGGACCATCTGCCCGTTTTCTTGGAAGTCCCACCTTTCTCTGAAATTCGGTCTCACTGAAACTGAAATTCTGGTCTGGGCTCTCAGTTGTTCTTTTCTGACTCTTTTCAAAACAGCCCCAGTGCCACATCTCCAGTTCCACACCAGGGCTGTGGCTCCCCATTTGTCCCCGTTGCTGACCCTACTCACAGAATCCATTTCTGTGACCTCTCCTCTTGGTTTGTGTCCAGCAGCTTTCTCCTGGTCAGTGCTTACAGGACTCCAAACTCCCAGTTTGTTAAAGCCATTTCCCTCTCCCTCTATAAATTTAAGGGTGTAATCTACATAATTTTCCTCTATTAGAATATTTAAGTGCATGTGTATAAATAATACCTGTGGTGTAAGTGCCACAACCATTGTGGGGTTTGGAGCAAACAGGAATAATAATATACACAGGAATCTTGCACTGGAGGAAGGACATTTTTGTACAGACTGATACTGTCCCTTGGAAAAGGAAAATTGACAGATGACACAGGCATCAGGAATGGACTTTTTGATCAACTTGGGTAGTCCCTGTCACTGTAGGCAATTACATCATACAAACCTTTTCATATTGGACATGTTCATGATCCAGAACATATTTCTGTCCAGGCTTATTGCTCACAGATTGAACAGCAAAGAGCTGTTCATTCCTAAATGCAATAATTTCATAAAAAATATTTCAGGTTTTCATTTGGAAAGTCAGATGGTTTTCAAAGGTGCACGAGAAGTGCACAAAAAATAAAAGATCCTCTTTAGCACCAGGATAAGATAATGTTGAGAATGTTCTTTACTGGAGGAGGAGCAGGGTTTTTGCCTTTGCAATCCAGCAGTGCACCTGTGTCATCACAAACTGTCCTGCAGGGTGAGGGAGACCCTTTGAGTCTGTTCCTTTGACTCACAAACATTGTCAACAACTCCAACACCCAGAGAAATCCAAAGAACACGAAGGGTTCTATTTATTTTAAAGCACAGCGACACATTTAATTTATCAAATCCCTTTTTTCTCTCGTACGATAAATCAGTTCATTATTGTCTTTCATGGTTTTTAAGGAAAGCAAAGCAAGAAGCCAAGTCCTGGGTGTCCCTTATGCTAAGAAGTGGTCAGTTCTGAAAACACCCTCCACAAACTCACTGGCACAATCCGTTCCAGAGTAGATCTCAGTGCTGTCTAGAACATTTGAAGTTGATGAAAAATGCCTGCCTTGATTTCAGCACTAAAGTACAGCTGGTAGCTTTTACTGTACTGCTACATTTGTTTTGTACATTATAGTGTACACTTTAAATTTAGAAACAACAGATATTTTCCTGTTTTGTAGACCAAAACAAAGTGAAAAATAAATGCTGTTCCCATTTACCATGGTAGGAGAGCTTTCCACAGCCAGTGGGAGCTGCTGGTCCCAGAGAACTGAGGCACAGGCGGGGTTTGCTCGAGGCAGAGCTGTTCCTGCACAGCCTATTTCTGTGACGATCACAGATGACTAAAGGATGAGTGAGAAATCTAAATTCAAGGAGACAAAATATTTTGCTAAGCTCTACAAAGAGCTGGCTGTTTTGGACACATGTGTGGCTCTCAGCTTTCTAATACTGTGGACTCCTTTCTCAAGTTTCTCTGCCAAATTCAAGGGGATTCTCCAGTTTTAAACCATCCAAGAGGATGTGTGTGGAAAATGTGTTTATCAGCAAAGAGTTCAGCACAACCTAGTAAGGCTCTGATTCTGCCTGTGCTTCCTTTACAGTGCTACAAGTCAGCAGAGTTATTCCCCAGTAAAGTCAAAGTAGGAATCCCTGGGATTTAAACCATGAAGTTTTTAGTTTTTTATTTTAAAAGTGGTTTATAGGAACAGGAGCAGGACTTGAAGAGACTTCTAAGCAAACCAGTGTTTATGTGAACAGATCACAGTTTTTACTGCCTGGAACTTGTTAAAAATATCACGTTTCCAAACAGATGTAGAAATGTGTAAGCAACAGTTGAAATATAAAAATACAACTATCACTAAAGGTGCTCTTCAACATTAAAGCAAGTCCAGAAATGCAGGAAGCAGCTATTAATTTACATGAAACCTGCATATGAAATCATTAGACAAAAATTAATGCTGTCTTCTTTTATGTTCATTGGCAGTTTGTTCTCCTCTACCTTGTTCAGTTCTGGCTGATTTTAGTGTTCTGTACAGTTCACCCAGCCCTTTTCTCCTCCATATGGGCTTCATTGAGATTCAGCTCAAGGCCAGGACTTCAACACTTTTACATCCCAAAGCTTAGTCAGAAGTGAAGATTCCACATTAAAAAAATACAAAGGTTTAGCTCTAATACAGTACAAATAAATATTTGAGCTACTTGTTGTACTTCCACTCAGTGACTCACTGCTTTACAAATGCTACTGGTACTACTGTCACAAAATAAACCACATGTTCTTGTGGGGCAGGTAGAAAAATATTTTCTTAGCCCTTTTACAGCAAAGTGGTGAACTTGAGCACAAAGGAGTGAAAGCCTTGGTTTCGGGGAGGGATTCGTCACTCGGTGTTTCCAAAGGTGCTGAGGATTTAGGATTTCGGATGTTCAGAGAGGATTTACCAGCTGAGGAGAACGATTGCTGGCCCTGCACAGCTCACACATTGAGGAGATGAGACAAGGGATGGCTACAGAGTATTGAGAGGTACAAAGGGATACTGCTCAGTTCAAGTGGTCATTGTACTGAAGGGAATTTTACAGTGATCTCTGAGGGAGGAAAATGCAATAGTTTTGTAGAGGTTTTCAAGGAACGTGCCCCAGGCTGAAATGACAGTTTGGTGAAAATGAAGGCTCTGGGTTGGAAAACAAGACAAATGAACAATTAGACATAGTTACTCCATGATCTAGGATGTGAGACAGCAATTTTTGGGAAAGAATTTCCAGTGGCAGTATGTGTTTTGTAGCTCCTGCATACAGGGAGACACATGGTCACTGCTCCAAGCCTGCCAGAGGTCAAGAAGTGTTGGGCTGATATTCTCAGGCACACGGTGTGACTCTTGGGGAGGGTCCTATGCATGGCCAGGAGCTGAACCTGATGATCCTTGTGGGTCTCACGCAGCTCAGCACATTCTGTGAGAACTGTTTTTGAAGTGATTGTCATGGTTTTGGAATGGTATTCTCTAATTTAATGCTCCCACTAAAACCACCCAGTGCTCCCCCTCCAACTGGAGGCACAAAAGGCAAAGACTGGGGGTTGGGATACAAACAATTTGCTGGAAACAGCAATGACATAAGAAAAGAACAGTAACAGCAACAATATTAATAAAAGAATAGATAAGAAATGATTCCCCCGGAAAAGCTCCTGGATAACAGACAATACTGGATGGCTCTCCCACATTTTCTGAGATGGAAGGAACCCATTCTTCCTGGAACAGACTGTTCTCACCCAAAAAGCAAATCCCCTTGAGGGACACATCATGCTTCCCCATCCCTCTGCAACACCCACCAAGTGCACCCAGGTCCTTAAGCAAAAACAACCCCATGGGTGGGTTTGCCTTTGCTCCAGGCAAGACTAATCCAAACTGTCCTCCCTTACACATTCCTCATGTGTACCACAGGGACTTTATCCCCTCCTGTGGTAGGTGGAGGTTCTGACTGGGCAGGGACAGCTCTGTTGGTGGAGCCTTGAGTGTGCACTGACCACGTGGCCTTGGCTAAATGTAGGTCCTGATGTTTGAAGTCCCACCATCCATTGCTTTCCATGGGGTTTTTAACAGTCCATTGTCCCGTTCAGCATTCCCAGAGGCTGGTCCATGACAGGGAATATGATCCACCCCCTCAGTGCTGTGCTCTCTGGCCCAGGTGTCTGTGAGGTTGTTTTTGAAATGGGTCCCATGGTCCATCTCCATTCTCTCTGAGGGCCACAGGACTTGCTTTCCCAGGCCCAGGATGGTGTTCCAGGCAGTGCCACGAGGCAGTGCCACGACCCCAGCTGTCCAGGGGGTGTTTCCACCATGGTCAGCACACAGCCCTTTCCTTGGAGGTTTTGGGCAGTGTAACCAATCTGCCAGGCCCCTCCCCAGCACTGACACAGAAGGGACAAGAAAATGCAGAACCCTGTCCATGTTCTGTTAGTGACTGGACAGGGATAAGGAGATATCAGAAGCATAAATCATATATCCACTTCATACTCTCTATCCAGACTAGGATAGGTGGCAACTGGTTTGGAGCATCCACAGAGCAAAGGTAGTGACAGTCAAATTTGTGAATAATACCATGCAGAGAGAGGTTTAAAAAGGAAAGGGCTAAAAATAGATAACTTTGTACAATATAGAAGGCTGAGGGGTGATCCTTTGAGTAAAAAGCTGAAGTAGCAGTTTGTAAAGTAGTGGGATAATAAGAGAAGAAAACTCATGATACACAAAGGTTTCTTTCAGAATTCAGTAGAATTCTTCATTTTCTTGGTTACACAAATGAAGTTAATGTGGTGGCAGAACACAGGAACGAGCCAAAAAGAAAGGTAGAGCAGAAAAAAGGAATAAAGAAACTTGCTTTAGGCAACTATAATGGCATGACAGGAGCACAGGATTTTACAGCGAAGTATCCAGGATACCAGAGCAACATCACAGAAAAATGGCACAGAAAATTTCAAAAATTATCTGTGAAGGAGTAATTGTCAAAAAGGAAGAATAATACATCATTATCCCCTCAGAAATAGCATTCAGATGAGCAGGGTCAGTAGGCCAAGTTCTGGCCTCAATTATTGCATTGGTTTTCACTGCAGATTTAATTTGTGTTTGAGACCTGAATTCAGCCCAGTGTAAAACCAACTTGCTCCTGGTGCCTGGAAGGAACAAACTCTCTTATGGACAGTAGTGAAGGCAGCTATGAAAGCTTTCACTGTTCATCAGACAGATGCATCTTAAATCATCAGAGAGTGCAGCTGGTTGGAAATCTGCGTTTAACAAGTGGGGACAGTGCTCTGAACATGGACGTGGAAGGTGTAAAAGCACTGATTTAACCTGAGGGTGCTTTGGAGGGAAGAGCTGGGCTCTGGGAGCAGCCCTTTTGCTCACAGGGTGGGAGGCACAGACACTGTGCCTGTCCCAGTGTGTGCAGTGAGCCAGGCTGGCTACACCAACCATGGGGCAGCAGCTCTGCCCACACTGCTGTGACACTCCCTGGCCATGGCACCGTCCCCTGGCAGGGACTCCCTGCAGTGGAGGAGACAACCTTGTGCTGTCCTCAGGCCCTGTGACCTCCTGAAAGCTGACTTTGGCACAGGTGGGCCCCATTCCTTGGTCTCTGTGTCAGCCCTGGCCATTCCCACAAGCAGAGGACGTGTTAACTGATGTGCCCCCAGTTCCTTCAGCTCATCATTGTTCCTCATGATAAGGTTTCAGCCAAGTGTTGGCAGGACTTCCAGCTGCAGGGGTTGCTATCAACTGGAATCCATTCAGGGAGGTCCTAAGGAACAACCCTGGGGTTTCTGTGGTGGAGAGGGACAGATCTTGCCGTCCTGCTCCAAACACCTGTCAGGTCACTGCCAGGATTCCTCTGGAGGCACCTGCACATCTCCATGCTGTGGGCACCTTCTCTTTCTGTTCAGAGATGAGGCAGAGCTGCCAAGAGCCAGGGTGAGACTGGAACCCTGACGAAGCTGAGGAACCATTTAGAAATGTCTGTGCTCGAAGCAGCATTGAATATGTAAGTAGTGAATATATTACTGAGGGAATTTTCCATGTATTTGTTAGTCAGATTCCCAACTTGGCGGTTGTGTTAATACCTCAGCTGCTCCTGGATGCATTTGCAGCAATGATGTGGCAAAGGGCTTTGTTCCACATCCCTCTGTAGAACGGGGCACTATATTTTTATAAATGTAGGGTTTCTGAGATTTATTCCCTACATTTGTCTCCCTGGGATTAGGGTGGTGTATGCTCTTTCCGTGGCACTGTGCCAGTCCCAAACTGGAGCTGTGGAAGGCTGCAGCTGTCTGCCTGTTATTAACTGAGGGTTAGTGCAGGGACCGACACACGTTGGTGCTCCAACACCCAAACTGTTTTCCAGATACTTCATGAATGAAAGTTTAAATTCCCACTTCAGGATAACGAACCTCTGAGTCACATTCAGTCCTAAGATCCCACTTGCAAATGGTTTATGAACTTACAGAAAGGAGTTTTGACTCCTAGGACTCTTACAAATCTCACACCCAATTAAACTAATTCTAATGAGTCAATAATAATCTTCTGCTGTCTTCACTGTCATCCCCAGCACTAACCATACATTCTGGGACAGACATCCAGAGAGGCTGTGGAATATCCACCCTTGGAGATATTCACAACTTGACTCAACAAGACCCTGACTAAACTAATTAAGTTGGTGCTGCCTTAAGCAAAGAGTTGGATCAGATGATCTTCAAAGTCCATTCCAAACTACATTATTCTATGATTCTAAAATACATTTTGCCTATATTTACTAATAATTTATTAATCTTTATGAATTCTTTTCCACTTGGAAAAGCAGCTCCATTTGGAAAACTGAGTTCTATGCAATCTGTGGAAGTGGGTGTGTGAATTGACTCAGTGGAGCTGGGTTTGGATCCACCAGGCAGCTGGAAGGCAGCTTCCCACGAGCAGCTCTGAACTTCCAACTTTCTCTGACCTGGTGCCATCAGAGTTTGTTCCCCTTCAGGTCACACAGCCAGACCCATCTACTCTCTGAGATATACAAAGGAGAGATGGATTGGAGGACCAAGGTCAGCTGCTCACAAGGTTAAAAAGGTTTTCTTAGCCATTAAATAGACATTTTTTAATACTGAGATCCATTGTGAAGTCATTATTCAGTGTATTTTCAGTGTTTGCTAAAAGCAGAACCAGGGATGTGCTAAGCTGGGGTGTGAACACATGACATGCTCCATGTCACAGCTGGATGTTTGCTCTTCATCCAGCAGGAAGGAATTGAAGACAGGGATAAGAAGGCTAAGTTATCATACATTAACCACAAAGACAGGAGGAAATATGCTACTAAAAATATCCTTGTGGTTCCTGTCCCTATCCTGGAGGTTGGTTCTAAGATAGGATGGGATGCTTAGATGGGGCTTCAAAGTCTGTATTTGTGTTTCTGGTCCTCACTACTCAGCCCTTCTCTTCATTTTTATGTGCCTTACCCAAAAAAACACCCTCTCGGTGATTTCAGACCTGGTGCTGAAAATGGGAAAGGTGCATTGAAATAATCTATATGTACAGCAATCTACAAAATGAAAAGATGAAGCAACTGTTTTTGAAGCCTAGTGAGCAACAAAAACCAGGAAAAAATCCCAAGATTAACTCGTGCTTTCTATCTGCATTTAGCACTGGCTCTCACTGCTGGTTCTATCCCATAATTTGGGAATAGATTATTCAGTGTAATGTCCTGAAAAGACCAAGAGGTTCCCAGCATACCTTAGAGGGGTAAGAGATTCATAAGATGAATATATGGGAAAAAGACTACACCTGGATTAAATGGCTCTGGAATAACAGAAGGAATTTCTGATCAACCTTCAAGTGTTCTTTTTTCTCCAAAGAGCAGTTGTGTACAAAGGCACTCACAGAAAAAATATTGCAGAAATACAGAGTAACACCCATGATGGAGGAGTGCTGTATTCTTACAACTGCAGCAAAAATACTGGTAAATATTGGAGAAGTATTACTTTTATTATGCTTGTCAGCTGTGGTCTAATGAAAGAACATAAACCTCACCCTTTTGGAATATTCTGAGGGATAATAATTAATATAATGTATCTAGAACACAATTAAACTTGTTTCTAGATAATAATAACAGTAATAATAACAGTAATAATAATAATAATAATAATAATAATAATAATAATAATAATAATAATACAGGATTTTATGTTTTGAAGATTTCAAGATGGTTAATTCCAA